GGCATACAATCTACCCTTGTTAGGCTACCTCGACGTCCAAGGTATACTCGAGCTGCTGCCTGGGCTTGAAGACATCGATTTAGAAGTGAAAGATTCAACTTTAGGTACCGAGCAGATACAACCGGCTAAGCATCCACGACTTAAAACTATCGGTATACGCGGTGAACGTCTGAAGACTATCTCCTCCGGCACGCTGGCCGGCTTGAAAAGCAGTGATCTCACCATCAAACTACAAAACACATCGCTTACGACGCTGCCACCAGCTTTGTTGTTCCCTGTACCACGCTCGTCACACCTAAACCTCGACATCACCGGTTCCAAAGTCACCGTGTTGGTGCCACAATTCCTTACCGCACTCGAGGATCGCCGCACCAGTTTGCAACTGAAAGGACTCGCCACAAATCCCATACACTGTGACTGTAATGCACGTGCCCTGCGCCGCTGGTTACCCAATTCACATATGACCGATGTAGAATGTCAGTCGCCTGCCTTCCTCGAGGGTAAAAAGCTCATCGAAGTCGGCGATGACGAATTGACGTGTGATCCACGACGCATGACTTCCACAACGGCGCGCAGCACCTCCCAACATATGTTGAAATCATCGTCGCGTCTCGTCACACGCCCCACCACCACCACCACCGAGGAACCAATGATCATCTGGAGCTTGGAGCCCACACAAGCTCCACCGATGAAAATCAAAACCAAAGCCCCACTCATGAAGGCCCCCATTATGAGTAACGACGACACACTTATTATCGGTATTGTTGGCGGCGTCGTGGCCTTCATAGCCATACTTATCATCATCATCTGCATTGTACGTTTGCGCATGAGCAATGTGGAGTATCACCAAGGACCGGCCATGATCGGTATACCGCCAATGCCAATGGGTCCCGGTAGTGTGCCAATAAATTTCAAGGGTGCCCCCACCGCGCTCTATGCCGTTCCACCATACGCTGCACAAAGTTATGCGACTCTACCACATAAAGCACCGTCCATACACCAATCCACACAGAATCTGTCGCAGCGCGCCGCCACACAAAATGGCCAGAACTCATACTCGACTATGTCGCGCATGTCGTACTTCGGTGGCACGCAACAACAGGCCTCACCGCAGTCCAATGGTCAACAGCCATACATTATCTATTCGGATGACAAAGTCTATAGATAAGGTACAAACGGGGTCACTGTGGCGATGCAAGCAATTTAACTTGGTGTTCAATCAGTGCTGGGTGGTGTGACTGCCGACAGCATACATACATATAAATATTATATATATATACATGTATATGTACTTTCAGTCAGTTGTGTAACATTTACGCAACGTGTTTATAATATTTTGTTTTCTTTTATTTGATTTTGTTTTTTTCATTACAATTTTGATTTCTTTAGCATTTTTTTTTTATGAAAAGCAAATATTCACATTTAAGCGTGCGCAAGTTTTAAGCTTGCTCCCTAGAGTTTAAGTTATTATTATTATTATCACGGTAGTCTTAAGGAGGAATGTTGGATCGAGTGTATAATATGTATGAACATATAAATATATGTATCTAACGTTAAAAAATTAATGTCAGTTTTTTGTCTATTATTTATAGTCAATTTATAATAAAATACAGGGTGGTTTGAATGAAAACAAAAGTGATTCTCACCCATATTTAGGAACTTATTTAGTGATAAATAAGAAACTGATTTATGTGGCTGTCTTGAATGCCATTAAAACCGTAGATTCAGATCCTGTAGTTTTCCACATATTATATTTAATCACATTATTTAAACTTTTACAGCTGTTGTCACTGACACAGCAACAGCTGAGTAAAACAAATGCACGTTATGAACCACCCTATACACATTTAATTCATTATTCAAGACTAAATAAATATTTATATGAAATTATACCGTTATAGCGAATATTATAATAGCTCTCAAAGTAAGTGAAGTATAATAAATATAGTGTTTGTTCTTTAATATATTTAATGTGTAATATTTAAATCCGTTGATTATATTGTTTAAAGAGTCGCGTGAAGATATAACTGATACAATTGTAAATAGTTCAAAGTTGCTATATTGAGCAGTACACGTACATTTTCAAAACTTACAGTTAATTCCCTCTTTTCTAGCGAGATTGTGAAACTTCAATTTAGGGAATTACAATAATGCAGAGTGAATCAATTATTTTTTCTAAGTATATTAAATATGAAATATCTTAAATTAAGTGATCGCTGTATAGTAAATAACTAATATTTAAAATAAATAAAAATAAAAACACCAAAATTTTAGTATTTATTTTATATTATTATTTTGATTTGGACTTTCAACTACGAAATTATATCCAGTTATTTCTTCTATTTGTTTTATGAGTGCTGAAGTTATTACACAAAATGAAAGGCATTTCGAGTTTTAATATAAAATCCAGTAAAAACATTTATATAAACCAATCTTTTTTCTTAATTGGCATAAACACCGCTGCACGATTTTAGCAGAGTTTACAACAGCACGCCAGTTGTTCTTCCTTTTCGATGCCCAGCGCCAATTGGACATTCCAAGCGAAGCCAGATCATTCTCTACGGGACGGGAATGATGAGGGACTTGTAGAGTTTGGTCTTTGTTCATCGCAAGAGGACTTTACTTCTCAATTGCCTGCTCAGTCCGAAGTAGCACCTATTGTCAAGAGTTAAACGAAATTATCTACGACTTCGAAAGCATGACTGGCAACAGTGACGTGGAAGCCAAGTCGCGAATGCGACGACTGTTTGTTAGATGACAGGAAATATTTTGTCTTGGCCTCGTTCACTACCAGACCCATTTCCTTTGCTTCCTTATCCATTCTGGAGAAAGTAAAACTAACGGCGGGATTGTTGAGGTCAATGATATCTCTATTTGGTTCTGGTTTGGTAGATTGAAGAAATCACACGAAAGGGATTCGCCTTCACTGAAACCTCGTTTGGTATCGAACCACTCTAAGAGGCTCCTCCCCATCCTGACTGAACTTTTGGTATTGCTTAACGTCAGTTTACACAGCCGTGTTATTATTGCGATCAAAAGCAGTTTTGAAATCGACGAAGAGGAGATGCATTCCTCTTTTTAGTTTTCCAAGATTTGGCGCATGGTGAATATCTGGTCAGTTGTTGATTTTCCAAACCTAAAGCTACACTGATAAGGTCCAATCAGTCTGTTGACGGCGCGCTTTAATCTGTCACACAGTAAGCTTGCTAGAACCGTATATAAGATGTTGAGGAATCTTATCCCACGGTAGTTGGCGCAGATTGTAGGGTATCTCTTTTTGTGGATGGGGCAGATCATACTTAAATTCCAATCGTCGGACATGCTATCGTCCTACCACATTTACAAAGAAGCTGATGCATGCTCCTTATCAGTTCTTCGCCGCCATAGAAAATAATAATATACACATCTCACACATTGACCGATAATTTCGGTGAAAAGTTAACACTAAGTTCTTGGGCCCACATATTAGGCACCTAAGTTTTGGTTCGATTTTGTAAATTTTTGTTCATAAGAAGGCATACTTTAAGGGCTCTATTCGTGCAAAGTAGGCGATGTCACCCAGTTTCGCATTTTAACATAGGAATGTCAGTAGAAAGTTATATAGTATATCGAGCTTAGTTTCGGATTTCAACTCGTAGCGTCATCCTTATTATTTATATATGTGTATATAACCCGATGTCTGTCTCGGTTAGTTTTAGGTAATATAAACAACTGTTACATGAACAAAACTATGACAATCTGTAGCAACATGTTGCAAGAGTATAATAAGGGCAATCGTTGAGCGTGACTGTCATACAAGCACTTCCGAGCCAAAGATAACCAATCGCCTTCAAAATAGACTCCACTCAAGCCAATCCAAGCATGTCAACGCTTAATTATATAGTATTTTATATACATTTATTATAAGACTCGGCGAGGATGAACTTCAGTCTTCTGCGCAATTTGGTTCTAAAGATGCGTTTGATCAATGTAGGGTGTTGTAGTTGTAGCTGCGGAAAACATCATTGACGCATTTTTGAAATTGTATAGTGTACTTTTATAAATGATGAATGTAGGTTCCTCAACTGCGTTGTCAAACATCTCTTTTGCGACCCTTACTTGACGTTGCTTTTGCAAAAGACTCAAGTACGAGTTTAGCATTGACACCCTTCATACCCAAAACGTTTTGAGATCCTCTGCTATCTCTCTGATACCAACACGACAATTTAAAACATTTTTTTTTTTTTACATTTTTCGATGTATAGTCATGAACAAAAGTGGACGGACGACTAACATGAGGCAAGTTCCCACTCAGCGGATGGACGGTCGACTAACATGAGGGAAGTTGCCACTGAAATACTTCGTTATAAAGTAGACTCCCCAAAATATTTCTGCAACATTTTTAACGATTGCGTAACTATGACTCCATTGGAAATACAAAATTTAAATCTCCAGCAAACGTGTTAAATTTCTTTCCGTGGTAAAAATTGCCAAACAAATATTTCGAGCAATAAACAAGGAGGTACTAAGCACACACTATTTGAAATATGTTGAACAGACTTCACATACACATAAAAAAGGTTATTACAGTATAGGAAAATAATTTTATCGATTCTATCAAATAGACCAGCACGAGTCTAAATTGAACAGCTGGTATATATGCTACTGTGATGACAATGTGACAATCTTTGGCCTTAAATGAATATCGATAGCGTTGATTTTTGTTATGATTATTGTTGACAGTCCTTGGTCGGACTCGTTTCGTAGACTCGACTGTCATGGGAATATCTCTCAGCTCAACCAACGTGTGTGCTCGTCTCTTACTTTTGAACGAATAAGTCCTATTTATGGTAATAATGAAAAATCTTAATTTTACTTCTGGAATTATAATTTATTTAATGTTTTCTTAGTTTGTTATTAAAATCGACATTTATTTACAAAATTTTGCATATTTTATGTTTATAATTTTATTAATTTTTTTTTTTCCTTTGTTTGATAACAATTTTGTAAAAAAAGTTTCGTTTCTTTTCAAACATCTTTTCTATTAAACAACAGTCTTTTTTATTTAATGCAAATCACTTATATATTTACGTACAATGTGGCTGGGTATGTCATGAGATTGGGATGGAAAAAAAAACAATTTTAAAAACAAACACAAAACGTTAAAAGGACTATTACACAGGATTTCGGTGGAACTAATTATAATAAAACGAATCAAATAATATTTAAATTTGTATCATAGAAATAATTTTCATGTCTGACACTTGTATGCATTAGTAAATATGTGAGTGATAAGTGAGCACCCTTCTAACTAACTAAAACACCTTAAGAGTAAATTATGTATAACGCATGACAGTCTGCTCATTTCACAGTTAACCAGCATGGAATAACAGGAGTATTACTTTATATATGTATGTATGTACACAAAATATAGGATGAACTGTTGGTAGACAGTTACATATATATATCACCAATAATAATTTTTGACTTAAGCACTGATCGATGACTGGCAAATAATTGAGTTTATATACGTTGTGTATGTGTGTGTGTGTAGGTATTAAGGTAGGTACAAGTTTATTTAATTATTTAATTGAAAATGCATTAATTGGATATTAGAGCAAAAACTATCACCTAGAAATGCGAATCACAATTSATAAATTTACGTACATATACACATACTATAACAGTTAACATACAATGCAAATGCAATTCAATTGCTAAATATCAAATTTGTCAAATATTAAAATCAAATGCATATTATACTCGCATACATATGTATTAGGGTTATTGATACACAGAGGAACATTACAATTTGTGCTCATACACTTTGAAGCCGATTGGTTGTTGCATGTTGTTGGGCAAAACTAAAGCGCTAAAAGTAGATATATCACTTATTGACAATTAGGCCATTTGCGCATACGAATAGGCGCTATATCTGCGGCGGCGATAGTACAGCATGAACGTGTAGGAGAGCAATAGCATAAAGCAGATAACTGAACCCAGTATGGCTGTGGTTAGAAAAATATCTGATATTAGCAAATAATACGGCCGCATTGTATTTGTAAAGCTAGGCTTACCCATAGCCAAGCCGATATTAGCCTCATCGTAGGGCATCATCATGGTGCTCAGTCTGCATTCTTTCTCCCAATCCACTGGCAAAATATCTTTGTATATTGTGTGCATTTTTGCCAGTGGACATGACACGCCACAATCGGGTATGCTCAGTAGTGTGGGCTCAGCCGATGTGTTTTTGTAGAATATTGACACAAAAGGTTGATTCTGCTCATCAATGCGCAATTCGAATAGTAAACAAGCTGTATAACCGGGGCTTTTCATCTGAAAATGTAAAATATTTTAAACGGTATAATCAAATTGCGATAAGTCGGAGCAACAAAGCATACTAACATCGTATAATTTGAGTGTGTTCAAAACGTTCGCGACGGTTGTATCGTGTGCACTATAAATCCACACCGCACGATCGGGCTTGAGTGAACCGCGCGCCTTCTCCCCAAAACGTTGTAGCATCTCTTTTATCAGCGGTCCGGCTTTTAAGCGTGCCATGCGGCGCGTATACGTGTTAATCGAAAATGCGAAATCCGCTATGTATGTCATATCGGCGCTGGGGTAGACCTTCTTGGTCCATTCGGGCAGCGTACGGTTGTAGAGTGCCTCAATGAAAAATGTATTATTCATACGTTGTATAGCCTCCAAGGTGTCCACTTTGCGACCCGAATACTTGGTTAAGTAGTCAAATAAATATTKATAGCGTTGATTTAGCTGTTGGAAGGTAATCGAATTTAAAAGTGCTGAGCGCGCATAATCGTAGGCGGGACAAGACACTTTACCAGCCAACTCCTAAGAGATAAGGAAGGAACAATTGGTAAACTTCAATAAAAAACACTTGCAATTAAAAAAAGTGTGTAAGCACCTTATCGTCCCGCTCGGGTTTGGAATGCACYGGTATCGGTTGCCAAGCTATATCTTTATTCCAAACCTCATCACCTATTGGCGGATACAGTCCGGCCAAATTTGATAGCGCACTCGCCAGCGTGCGATCGACATCGGTTGAGCGCACATAAATCTCATTCTCCGAGTAGGTTTCATTTAATAGCRTATTATAGCGTTGACGTAACCATTTACCAAGCTGATAGTGCTGGTTTTTCCCCGTCTGCAATTGGAAAAAGCAAAAACGCATTAGTTTGAAGTATAATGTAATAATTTTAATATTAAAATCTATATGCATTTGTAAATTATATACTATGCATATATTACGGTGTCAAATATCTCCCTTTCGCCTTTTTGTCTTTTGAATTTTGCGACTATGTATAAAGCGCTACGGAGCATGTATCTGGCAATACTACACATCTTTSAAAGGTCTTGACATAACCTGAAAAATGGATCACATACGACAATATCAAGCGAAAACGGTCGTGGTCGAAGGCCGGTGAATCGTCCCATACAGTGGCCAAGCCGGGATTGACGGCCAGGAAGGTTTTGTTGTGTGTTTGGTGGGATTGGAAGGGAATCATCCACTATGAGCTGCTCCCATATGGTCAGACGCTTAATTCTACCATTTACTGTAAACAACTGGACTGCTTGAAGCAGGCGATCGACCAGAAGCGTCTAGAATTAGCCAACAGGAAGGATGTAGTGTTCCACGAGGACAACGTTAGATAACACACACTTCGTTGATGACTCGTCAGAAGCTACGGGAGTTCGAATGGGAGGCTTTATCGCATCCACCATATAGCCCGGACCTAGCGCCAAGTGATTACCACTTATTACCACTGTTCCAGTCCATGGCGAACGCCCTTGTTGGTGTAAAATTGAACTCAAAAGAGGCTTGTGAAAAGTGGCTGTCCGAGTTCTTCGCAAATAAGGAGGGGGCTTCTACTAGGGGGCTATTATGAAGTTGCCGTCTAGATGGAAACAGATTATCGAACGAAACGGCGCATATTTGAACTAAATGCGATCAATGTAACACTCTTTATAAAGCATTGTTATTMACAAGTTATTTGACACCCTTATATAAAAAATAAAATAAGTTGAAGTTTGATAGAAATACGAAAAGACTTTTTCGACTACCCTATATTTATATACTATATACTGGGTGTTAAAAAATWTTTCGCATAAAATTTGCCACCTGATCAGAGTATAAAAACGCAGTTTTATATAAAAAAAAATTAATTCACTCAAATATTTAATGTTTTGATGATATTTTAATGACTTTCTACTCAAAAGAGTAATAAACTTGTAGAAAATTTTCGAAAATATATTGTAAATATTCAATATAAAACAACAGAATACAGCTGCTAAACTCAAATCGCAAACTATGMGACATATTTTCTTTATTTAGGTGAAAAATACAGTCGCAAAGAAAACAAAATAAGTAAATAAATATGATAGATAGATGTTGAATAATATAACGGTTATCTATTTATATACCTTATAATGGAAAACTTTTTGCAAAATCGCTATAGACAGGGGTATTGAAAGGGGTATAGAAAGAGTTACATGTGTTTGTACTTTTTTATCACTTTAATAATGAAACATCAATTTTTCATATGAATTCGCTTCTGTACGTGCTATATGCAGATATGATAACATAACGTCACCTAAAATGCAACACAACGTATCATCAAAAAAAAAGAAAATGGCTGTGAGATATAACAACCACTATAACACATTTTATAGTATAAACAAAACTCCAACTTTGTTTCAATTTGAGTGTCTTCTATCATATTGTTTTTTCTTCGCCTTAACTTATGAAAAGTGATGTTACGTTATTTTGCATTTTATGTGACGATAGATAACTTTATAATCAACAACAAAGTTAAGCAGTCGAATTCAATAGCAGAGAGTGATGTTTTACTCTCTATTTGAGTCAGTTTATCTGTTATATGCCACTTGTTTGTTTTATTCGCCAGTTTCAAAGTTGCGATAGCTAACAATATCAGAATATAGAATCATTTAACTTTAGGGGCAATATCAAATATGCCAAAACTTTTTAATCTAAACGTACTATATACCTAAATTAAAATTTTATATAGAGAAATCGATAATGAAAGTTTTTTCTTGTTGTAAATACAGAAAACATATCTTTCAACAAATTTGGAATAAAGCTCTTGAGTTCACATTCCTTGACCAGTCCAGTCCGGTTTATTCCAGTTACCGATCGACTAACGTGGGAACGGTTTAAAAATGTATATTTAACCAAGTTAAAAATAAAGTTTTGTGGTTTTATTGCAAGCTCAAGTAAAATTACAGTTATCAAACAAAATTTGTGTACTTGAAAAATAAAACGCGATAGAAATGAAAATTATCATTACTTTACTTTATGGCCATAAATTAATTGATTCCTTTTTGTTGCCGTTATCTGCCATTGTACGAAGCAAGGCTTAATCTTCAATAAATATACATATGTACATTTCATAAATAGCAATTGTGTTACATTTCTTTAGGCCTCAAAATATGAAATATACATTGTTTTCAGCTGACCATTGTTTGCCGATTTTTAGCGTCACGTGACTTATCAGTTTACAAGAAACGCGAAGAAAATATTTTTGAAAGTACTATTTGCTGATCTTATTGTTACGTACGCAAGCCTGTTCTTGTTTGTACGAGTATTTACCATTAATAAATATGCATGTGTAAAAAGCCCCTATAGGAAATTGCAGTAACACAAATACTTCGTATTATGGATTGGAATGCGATTTGAATGCGAAGACGTTATTGGCAATAAAATAATATACAAGATTAAGCTTGGGGAGTAATTTTGAAAATGTTTGATACAAATATTGAATAAATTTAAAAAAAAAATTAAATTTCTATTTGATATTTTGCTCAAAAATTTAAATAATAGGTAATATATCTATATATTTATTTGAATTGTAATCACATGAATATTATTATTTACGAATTGTTTTGACTTTTAAAATAATTGAGATATAAACTATTTATGTTTCAAGTTAGAACAAACTGAACAGAGTGAGCTAAATTTTACTAAAACCGGTGCAGGAAGTATTTAGGAGTTTACCTCGAACAAAACGTGRAACGTAATTTTTTTCTATATGGAAAGTTCAAAAATTATAAATTAAGGGGTCAGTAGTGTAATCTTCTTTGTGTCTTCTTTTTTTTCATTTTCTGTTCTCTTATACCCTTAGAATTAATGTAGAAACCCCCTATAGTATTGAAAGGACCAAAAATAATAATACCGCTCGACGTTTCGAGCGCTCGGAGTGCACACCTCAAACTTTAAACGCGTTTTTCTCAAAACACACTATTTTAAACTTATTTGCTTAATTTTTTTTAAATGACAATGTTATGGCAAAACTTATGTAAAAGACATGGGGAAATATTAAAAAAAAAACAACGTTAATTACTTTTTTATTTACCAACATTTTTTCATGATTCTAGTAGGGAAGATAACCATTCACGTACTTTTTAAGAATAAATTGGGTTGTTGTGTTTCAGATGATCCAAACATGAGAAATTGTATCCACCAGTGAAAAAACGCATCTCATTCACCCAGCCATTTCTCCGAAAGATTTCATCAAAAAATTCTGAAAAAATTTGTTTATATACTCCACGACATACCTCATGATATGTCAAAAAAACTGACCTTAATAAAAAAATATAGTTTTACTGATATTTTTACTCAAATTTCAGCTCTTCTAAATTACAGCAGCTTTTATTTGAGCTGAAAAATCGTGCGCTAATGCTTACCACAATTTTAAGTGTAAATAATTTAACTTAATTTCATACATTTATATTATAAAAATAAATTGATTTTTATTTTTATTTTATTTTTTTTTTGCACCTTATCAATTCAAATTTTTCCTACAGGGTATCAACCATAATCGCCTGCATAAATTTCGGCGTTTTTGCTGTCAGCAGTCAAACTCGTGCGTACCAAATACTCGTGCATACAAATGTGTTGCTTGTAATGTAACTGTAAGCAATTCGAAGCGGCAAACATTTGACCGACAAATATTATAATGGAAATAGTAATAAGACTCTATTTATATACACTAAAGTATGTACACAAGAAGCTTTGTTTGTKCTCATTAGAGTGAAATTAACGCCACTGATTGTTGGCTACAAATATGTTCATATGACAATACTGGGCGGCTAAATGCGGCGGAATTGTGCCGCAACAACAACAAGAACGCTATATGCGCGCTCTTAGTTCAATACTTAATGGCATTTATTGTAAGCAATAATGTAGGAATATGCATTGAAGTCCATCGACAATATTAGTCATTTATTAATAGGAATTGTGAGCCAATAAGCACTTCTCGATTATTATAGGCATATAAATATAAGCATACAAACATACATACATGCCTACAAATAAATATACACACATATATACATATATATATATATATATGGTATATATAGCCTCATATAGGCTCTTACTAGAAATACTACTAACAACAGCAGCGCATAGCTGTGAATTTCGTTAACAAACGGAGGTAATTGAACTTAAGTAATTACGAAACGCTAGCTGCACTGAAAATCATTAAAAATGAATAATAAATGATTTCTCAATAGAAAATATACATATGTATATACTACTACCAGCATTATCAGCTGAAAATGTACTAATTAATGAACTGACTGAGAKTAAAGTACGCAACAACATGAATAAAATAATTGAAGTTTTCAAATAGGTCAAAGTTTTTGTTGAAAAAAATTTATATTTGAAATCAAGGCACATTAAGAAAATTACACAGCAAAAAAGAATATCAAAATTATTACTTTGATTTTTTTTTTTTTTTGGTCCCTTACATACCATAACTTAAAAATATTAAAAACATGAAATTAAAAAAAAATGTAAATTATAAATCGAATACCGTTAAATAACTAATAACATGATTATAATTTTCTTATATAAAAACAGCTGGAAATACTTTTGTTGACAAAAGACAGATCACCCTAAGTCAAAACGACAGCTACCACTCTACAAATATATATCTTTACTTAGAGATAAAATGGTCACACGTGCGAACACAATACCTAAAGATACTTACATACATATAGAAGTATATTTATATAAAAAGAAAACATATGTTTCACATACATATACATTAGACATTCTGAATAAAACCTTGCCAGAGGGGCTATGGGTTTAAGAATGGTTTCCAGCCAGCAAGTTTAGAGGCGAAATTCATAAGAGATTATAAAAATTTATTCGTCAGTTTTTTAGATATACGACTGAAATTTGAAACTTAGATGTTTTGTGATATTGTATTGATCATTTGTCGAAATCAGCCAGATCAGTCAACTATATTACATATCTAACATATCACCGATTATTCAGATTTTTTAAACTTCGCCTTAAAAATCTATCTCATAACCGGTTTTAGACCCATGGTCTCTTAGGAAAAGTTGTTCAGAATGATCCGTAGAACATTTCTGCATACGCCATTTAATAGAAAAAAAAATCTACCCGCTCTAATGTACATTGGTATTTATGTATATTCAAAGTCTGTATGAATGTATGTACATATGTATATTTAATATTTAAGAATGTTAATTCTTTTTTGATCATAACCGTTTTCTTAGTGAGCGTTGTTGGTATAAATTTTTATACCCTGAACGGAGTATAAGTTCAGTTTGCCACGAAGTTAGTAACAGCCAGAAGAAAACATCGAATACCATTTGAAGTTAATGTATATATAAAAGATCAGGAGACGAGTCTGACCAAGTCGATTCACTGTCTAAATCTCTCTCCATCGGTCTGTATATACGCGAACTAGCCCGTTAGTTCTTCAGATATCCATCTGAAATGTTTGCACATGTTCCTAACAAAAAGATAGTAATTTGTCGGGACCGACGATATTGGAATATTAAAAAATAAAACTGTCGATCGGTTTATGGATCAATCAAAATCAAGTTATTGTATGGGGAACTTTTTTAGTTGACGAGATATCTTTATGAAATTTGGCATGGTAATTTCCCGAGGAAATTGTTCAGATCGGTTTACTAAATCGGACCGATTAAAGTCATGTAGTTGCTAGCAGAAATGCACCCGCGAATTGTATTATAGCTTCGATGCAGCTGAAGTTAACGTTTTTTTTTATGTTTTTATTAAACTTTCAACGTCACAATAAAGCAAAAAAGTTCAAAACAAGTCTTAAAAAATTTAAATAGTGAAAAAAATAACGAATGAAATTACTGAAGGTTAGTAAAACTGAACATAACCTAAATATAAAAGAATTCATTAAAACATTTGAGTAAGTAAATATGCGCTTTTTTATTATATGCACCGAAATGAATACATTGTATAACCTCATTTTCCAAAATTTTGTATAATTTTCATAATTCTACTGAACTTAAACTTAAAAACTTTACGTTTGYTCTTACGTACTTACGTACGTTTACGCACATACATAGTATGTATGTGTATGTATTAACATAAATATTTACATATCTGTTCGTACATTCGTTATTACTTTCGGATTCAACGATAGACAATTTCGTATGACGCCTGCATTGCAGTAAATTAGAGAAAGTCTGACAAAACGTTTACACTGTCTAGCACACAATTTAATTATTAAGCATTTTTTATACTTCATAAATCACATGATAAGGGATTACAAATGATAAATAAGTAAAAATATAAATTTTTGTTGATAATCGAGTATACAGGTTGCAAGAGTATCTTTGAGCGATTTTTTAATGAATAGCCTTGTAATTCTGATAGAAACATATATAAATTTTTTTTGTCATAAATAAAAAAAAATTAATAAAAATATTTTACAAAAACAAATTACCCGATTTTACCGCTAAGTATCGATTTTTTTCCTTCCAGAAGTTCTAAAAAATTTGGTTTGCGGAAAAGTCTCTCGGCTTTGCCAGGTAAAAACATTCAGTTAACGATATACATATGTATATTCAGATGAGCCAGCACCGAGTTATGAAAGGCAACGCAATTCAACATTTTTTCGAGACACTCCATAGTCATTGCCGTATTTTTTTTAATATTTCACCATGCAAACTTAACACTAATTTTTAAATATTATTCTCTAATGAACCATTGGTTTCAAGTAATAACTTTCTTCAAGTGTTTCATAAAAAAAAAGTATAACTATATTTTGTTTTACTTCTCCCTTATGCGAAGTGCAACGCTTGCCAATACAGGTCAGCTGCCATATGGTTGCTTCACTAAATTTACAAACACTCAGCATATGCTAACCTGACCCATTCATGCAAATATAAGAAACTTAATTATAGCACTAACGAAGTAATAAAAAAAATTATGATTTTCGCACTTACATTTGTGAGTTCACCCCAGCCGACCGGCCAGTACTCGCGATTCTTCCACGGATCTGTTGGGTATGGTTCAATTGGCGTGCGGTCGCCGTGTCGGAAGAGCTGCAAAAGTGCACAAACAAACAAAAAAGTTAATTATTAAAAATGCGCGCGTATTGGGTATTGTTGGTCATTAACCAGGCATCTGTTGACCGATAAATGCTCATACAACCAAATTATACGCGGAGTACACACTTACCACATGCGAGAATATTAATTTTCCCTTCAAAGCAACTGGCAACGGATTGTTAAGTCCACGTTGCCCACCGCTTTGTGGTAGTGTTGTTGGCAGCTCCAAGTCCGCCAAAGTTAGTGAAGCACAACACAAAGTGAAGAACACGAAGACGAAGAATAGCTGCCTGTATTGGAGCAACCGCAGCGGCTTAAAAATATTTAGTGATTTTGGCATGTCGTTCGCAGGTGTGCAATGTTGTTTTTCTTGTTTATTTTATGTCTTTTGTTTTGCGCGTATTTCCGCTTCTTGTTCAGCTTTTAGCCCGCAACAACCAACTTGTTTTACGGCAAGTTATAAAATAATCGTATATTTATTCGCGCGTTTCACAAAAACTCAACGCAAAAGCATATGTTGAAGTTAGAAAATAAATAAATGAATATATATGTTTGTATGTGTGTGTGGGTGTAGGTAGGGCGATTCGTGATATTCGCTTTGCTCATTTATTTTAGTATCTTGTCGCAGTGGTTTGTCAATGCGCTATGTTCCCGTTTCCTGCTCGCTCGCTTGCTTGCATATGGTTCACTGTCTCTACTCAAGTGTCCAATTGGGAGGCTCGTTTACACACTTTGTTCAATGTTTAGACATTTATTTGTGACTTTTGTGTTTGTGGCCTTCTTCGTTGGATAGCGCACAGTCACTAATTGCGATTTTATAAATTTAGCTGCAATTCAATATTCTGCATTTGCATGCAACTGTGTATGTATGTTTGCTGTTGTTGTTGCCTTCGTCACCTTCTTCGACTTCTTCGAGTACCCGTTGGCCTTTGTTTGTTTGTTAACGCGATTTTTTATTTGTTATTTTGCGTTCACTTCAACAAAGCACTCTCATAAAGCAATTTTGTACCGTCGTCGTTGCTTTTTTGCATTTGAATCTTGCCCATTATTTCAATAAAGCCATAAAGTATATGTGTAAAAATTTACAAAATCACTAAATAATGAAGTAATCATCAATTCCCTTGTTGTGGCAGTGCGCCGAGTCAAAACAGTTTGTTACTTTGACACCGAACACGACGACAGCAACTGTGCGAAGATTCGCAGTCGCAATAATTCAACAGACTCGCGGTAGAGCAAAGAGTGAGTTTATGCGTTGCGAAAAAATCGCTCCAAAGCGCTTTCGCCACTGCTCAGTGACAGCTAAACAACTGATAAAAGCTTTGAAATAATCTTTGACAAATATCAAAATTTTTTTTTGTTGTTTCGTTAAATTCGTTTTGACGGCTGGCTAGGTATAGTCACCACACCGTGTTTTCAAACAAAAATACAGAGAGCATTGCACTGCAGTGCTACCGCTGTGCATTTGGCAGCATGCGTGCATATTGTACATATCGATATGAGTACAGTGAGTGACTTCGACGTAAGAGAGTGTGCACATTTTGGAAAGAGAGAGCTGAATTCTATAACTGAGTGTTGTTGTAGGGGAAGTACAGGTTAACATTTCGTTATTTAATACAAAGCGATTTATGAAATTAATTAATTATAACAGCGATTTGTTCAGGATTGATATACCTGTATAACAGTACAGTTATACCTAGATTTGCAAATGTTGCACCTATTGTACTCATTTAAAACAAATTTTATATTATAATTGCCACAAATGTTTATAGAATTTAAATATGCGCTTAAAAGATGCAACACAAAGTTAAGAACTTTGAAATTAACTGCAAAGTAGCTTAATTATATTTAGAGAAAAATTAAAACAGATTTCTTTATAACTAACAATGATAATAAAACATTAATTAAAAAATTAATTTTAAAAAATTATAAAGAATCGAAAAAGATTATTATAATATATTTATGTATGAAAAACAAAAAAAGAAGAAAAAAAATTTAAATACGTTAAAAAATTTTTAAAAATTAATAAAATAAAATAATTTAAAAAAAAACAAAAGGCAATTGTAAAAAAATTTCAAATTACAAAAGAAATTACAAAAAACACATAATAACAGTGTTATAAAAAATTAAAAAATAGATATAAAAATTAAGAAAAAAAGTTGAAAAATTAAAAAAAAAATTAAGAAAAAAATTTAAAAAAAACATATTTTCAAGAATAAGCCATGTGCATGACTCTTTAGTTGAAGAACTAAACTGTCTGTTCCAACGACAGGCAATCTACGTAACCGGAAAAGACCCGGACTTTTTATCCATTTAAGGACGGCCGGCATAATTCCAGCGCTACAACAACATCAACTCTTCTAGTTTAAAATGATGCAGCACCATTTATTTTCTTTATATCAAAAACGCATAAGCACATAAAGGCTTACCTTGTTAGTTGTACAGAACCGATTCGTCATTCGTTAATTTTGTTGCGAACTTCTGGTTTAAGCATTTTTAATGCAAAGTATAATAACAGTACTGAAAGTATATTTTATTTTACATAAAAAATTAACTGTTTCTTTATTGAATTATATTGCATAAAATTCTGTACTATAACTAAAGCAAAATTTTAAATAGATATGTGCGAAAAACAAAAACATATTTGCAATAACTTGTGTATTTTCATTGTTGTTGTTTATTTATATACAAACTGAAGTATATTTATTTCAATTGAAAATAAATAAACACATCTATATTCGGTCAGGTAAATGTATTATTAATACCTTTCACACATAGAAGCTGTTACGCTACTTTATGTACGGCGTGATTGTAGGTTAATCTTGTTTAAAATCTTCTTGCCATTTGCAATTAAATTTTATTCAGTGTAGTTGAAAAAATGATCGGCGCAATTTGTCTGTAAATTTGTAATTTTCCTATTTAATTATTTTGTTCTATACTTAGAATATGCTATGTTCTTTACATTTGATAGTTAGTATATACAAAATATTGACGACCTTGCGTTGCTTATATACTAATATTTGTTGATTGTTAATTATTATAAAACCGAAGTTGTTTACATGACTCCGTGAAATTTAGTTTGTTTTCGAATCACACATTAACTTTTAGCAGCAAAGTTTTCGCTTACATACATATGTGCACTCGTTATGAATTGACTATTCATATAGTTAGTCTAACTGTAATACACGAATTCCACATAATCTACTCAAATAAACGGATTGGTGAACTCGCTTACTAGGTGTTATTTTCAGAAACGTTGATAGGGCATCGCATTTTGACGTGGGCCATTGCTGTATGTAAGAGAAATCGTAAAATAACTTTTAAATATAATAACAAATATTTAGGTCAAAAATATTTAAAACTATTTAGATATTATATTTTAACAAGCTAAACTATTTTCCGTAGCCATTTTACGTTATATTGTTTATTCACATTATGCATATAAGGAGAAACACACATTTATACAAATCACCAGCTTTTCGTTCGTTTTCCATGGCTTTTAAAACAACTTTCAACAGATATCTTATTTATTGTATTGTTTCTTTAAAAAAATTGATCTCAATAAAATCTTACCGTTGATTTCCACCACCTCGACCGGCACGCGCAGCTCCTCCGTGGCCGCCGAATCCTAAATTTCGATGCGCTCCAAGTGGCGGGAAATTACTACTGTAATTATTCTGCGCAGAAAATCTTTCATTGTTACCTCCATCATCACGCCTAAATCCGCCACTTTTTGCATTGCCATCACCTTGGCCATTGCCAAAACTGCCATGAAATCCACTACGTGACGGCATATTATTTCCATAGCTAAAACAATAGAAATTAAGCATTTTTAAAATTAAGCTTTTAGATGTTTTTCATTCTAAACCTCACAATCTAACTCACCCATCTGAACCGTTGTTATTTCTTCGACTGAAAAGACCATCGGTGGAGTTATTTGATGGGCCAGCATTATTTTGCATTCCACTTCCACGAAATGAACCAATAGAATTACCACCAGCAAAAGCAGTATTGCCATTACCGAAACGTTGACCACCACCACCACCACGTCCGCTCATAGGTAAGGCGAAACCTCTTCTATCCTGACCCTGACCTCCAAAACCTTTATTACCGCCATAACCGCCTCCAGAATTGTTGCCATATCCCTCGGTGTCATTGAAATTGTTCATGCCACCAAAATGACTGTTCCCATCAAAAGTTTGTTTGTCCCAGTTATGGAAATTTTGCTGCCCACCGTCACTTACTCCACGATCGAAACCTCTAGAGCCGCTGGCATTGCCACTATTAAAGTTGCCTCTTTGATTACCACCAAACATTCCGCTTGCGTCAGTCGAAATTCCTGCCGGACCATCATTTCTTCGATTATAAGGCATGTTACGTTGTGGCTTGAAGTGATCATTACGTATAGTACCGCTACCTTGATTAAATTTATTTTTTGGTGCGCCACGTCCGGAATTATTACCAAAGTTTTGCCTATTATTGCCACCATCATTTATATCACTATCCCTTCCTCCTGGTCTGCCACCACGATTTCCTGGTCCGGAATTCCTACCGCCTTGACATAGATAAATTTATATAAAGGTTAATAAATGCAATAATCAATACATTAAATATCCCAATTTTACCTCCGGCACGTGCTGCACCGCGTGACCTTATATTTCCCACTCGTCCATTGTCCGCATTTGCTTTCCTATCTTTCGGCCGACCCAGCTCTACAACAATCATTTGTCCTTTGAATTCGGAGGCATGTAGTGCAGTAATCGCTGTGTTGGCCATTTCTTTTGTTTCCATGTGCACAAATCCACACCGATTCATAACATCACATTCCACCACAACACCATAATCTTCAAATAAACGTCGTAATTCCTCAGGTTTTGTGCCGGGCGGGAGATTACCCACAAATATTTTTGTCTAAAAATCCGAAATTTGTTAAAAGAAAAAAATTATAGACATGAACGTCATTGCACAAGTAAAATAATTATTCAACGTTGCGTAAAGATTCACAAAAATGTGCGCTGATATACTTACCGCCATTTCGGTGGGTTGTTGAGATATTTGTTTAGATTTCAAAGTGTTTTTGTTTTGGGCCTTTATTACTTTTCAATATTAGCGTTTTTCACCTGTATACGCAGCCAAAACTTCTCTTAATAAATGATTAACAAAAAATGCCGCTAGAAAATTGTGAAAATGGCGAAGAAAGAAAAATAAAATAGTGCCACATAATTTTAATGGTAACAGCGTTGCCATCAGTTCTATGTAACAAAGATTAAAAATAAATTATAAACGGGGACGTTCGGGTTTGGCAATTCACTCCCGGAACACATAGAGCGAGACAGACTGCTAGCAGAGATCTGTCAAATACACACGTTCTTACGGACACAGTTATGTAGTTGTGCAGCTGTCTCAATAACTGTGTCCTTAAGATTAATATGTGTGTGTTGTGGCGATCTATGTGTTGCGGGCGTCAAACTGCAATAACATTAGTAAATAATTTTTGAGATAAATTAAGTCAAGCGAATACAATTTGGTAGACTTCATTATTGAAAAGCTCTTCGTATCAATGGAATTCGTCACGAACGTCTACACAGGGTGCAACCTAAGCAAAAACTTATTTTGATAATAATTTATTATGAGTCTTTAATTATTTTCAGACTTTATTTAGTTTATTGTATTACTAAAGAAACTCTTAAGTATTAAATAAAACAAACATAATTAAACAACTTAAATAAATGGGTGCCATAAGTAATTGTTGGCAACATTACTGTGAAGAAGAAAAGGGAGAAAATGTACAGTAAAGTAAAGAATACCAAAAGTAAACAAACAAATTTATAAACAATTGTATAAAATGTATGCTGCAGCCGACGAAGAATATTTTTGTAATTATAATAGTAGTAACAATACTGAAAGTATTTTACCAACAGTGGAACTGATGGTCAACTTTCGTTTGGATGGTGAACGTATGAAGAAGCCTTGCATTATGTGTGCCGAGAAGATTGCATTCAAAGGGTTGCTTGTATGTTTTAAAATATCGAAAACAATTATTTTTTTCAACAAAAATATATCAATTACAGCAATTACGGTTGACGGAGAAAAGTGATCAACGCCGCATGTACATTACAACGGTGGATGGGTGTTCATTCAATGAATTGAAGCAAGATCAGTCATTGCATGTAACATTTGCTGGTTTCATAGAGAATCTGGCAAGAATGCTTCAAGACTGTAGATCGGGAAAGCTTGAGTTAGCATTGGTACAAAAACAGTGCAACGCTGCAGATGAATCCATCGGCTATCAGTTACAATTTATTGAAATGCGTAGTTTTAAGAATCTTATCCATTTATGTCTACCTAGTCGTATTGCCCCCTTAAATGTTGTACTATTCTATATGAGCAGCAGGTTTGATGTCATACAGGTAATATGATATTTTTATTATTTGATTGCTAAAGTTTGCTAAATCTATATTTCTTACTTATTAGAAACGAAATCAGTCACAAGAAAATCAAATACAGGCCTTGCAACAGGAAGTCGACATGCATTTGCGCACTATTGACCAGTTAAATGCTGAAAATGGGAAGCTGAAGGAGAATTTGATAGATAACTCAAGAAATTTAAATCAACGCCACTCCGAAGAGTTGAAACATTTGCAAGAAAATTTGCGTAAAGCAGCGGAACAGAAACACATCGAAAATGAACGTAGCCAAAATAAAATTACAGCATTACAATTGCAAATAGATAAGCTAATATCTGACAAAAATAGTATGCAAGCAGAAAAAATGTAAGTTATAAATTTGACATTAACTGAAAACAGACAATTTATATATTTTACTTAAAAAAATCTGTCTTAATCATTATCAATGTTTATATTATAGTAAAGAGCAAAAACACATTGAGATTGTAAAGGAAGAATTATCTAGCGCTAAAACACACAATTCAACGCTAAAAGAACAAATTGAAAGGTTGCACGTAGAAATATCAACTTTAAAGAATACCGAACGCAAAAACGAGATGCATTTAGTGGATGCTCGAAATCATATTGCAGAGCTTCAAGAAAAAATTAAAAAATATGACAAAGCCAAGGTAATATATAAAGTGATATATTTGAAAATTTTTAATAATTAGCCTGTTTCGTTAGGCTGATGTAAACGCCGAACTTGAGGCGGAGAAGAAAATTTCACAAACAAAACGAAAAGCACTCGAAATGGCCGCAGAAGAAATATCTAAGGCAAATGAGATCATTTTAAAACAAACACAAGAACTTATAAAACTCAAAAATACTGTTAGTTGGCGAACCGAGGTTGCGCTTCAACAGGAGAAAGCAATCGGAGATAAGGATAAACTACTGCAATTGCGGGAAAAAGAATTGGCGCAAGCACGGGCTACTATCGAAGCTTTGCGCGAAGAAATACCACAGCAACTGGATTCTATGCGAAAATTTGCTAATACACTGGAACGAAAGTATAGTGAACGTAAGTTGTCATATTTGCTGTATTTTGCTTTCATAAACAAGTATTTTTTCAGAAATCAATGCATTGCGCGAGAAATTAAGTTCAAATGGAAAAGAGAATATACCACAACATGTATCAGCCACACCACTGACCTCTAGCCGTCGCAAATGATCGACCATTTCTTTTTGCAATTTAAAACCCACCGTAATTTTATACAAGTTCTGTTATTTGATGAAATTTTATATAATAAATAAAAAAAAACAAAATTTATATTTGAAATACTAACTAGTCATCGTCGCCCACAACGGTCTCACCAGCGTGCGCTGTGCCAACATTAACCGCTTGAAAGAATTCTTGGTCGGACTGGTTTTTCTTCAATCGTTCTCTTATTAACTCTGCAATTGCTTTTTGAGTTCGCCGTTCCAACCGTTCTAATTTTTTTGCCACATCACGTTTTAAATCCCAGTCAGGTTTTCTAGGCGCTAAATTTGCTATATCAATTTCGTCAATAACCATGGGTTGTCGCAAAAGTTCGAGTTGATCTTCCACAGCTTTCTCAATGTCACCAGATGGTTCTTGTTCTAAAATTTCACCTTCAGTATTTTTATTTTGAGGTTTATAACTTCTGAAAACGGGCCTGCACAAATAAAACTTATTAATGTACGTCATTTTAGTAAGTTAAGCCATTTAGAAAAAATTTGCATACCTAGGGAGTTTCTCTGCTCCTTCGCTGTTTGTGTCTTTATCAGTTTTATTCGCTTTCTCTCGCAATTGCCGCAAACGTTCCTTACGCTTTAGAGACTCTTCTGATAATTTACCTAATTTATTTTCGTCGATTTCCATGGTTTGTCAATTAAAATGCGAAAACAAAAAAATGTGTTAAACAAAATAATAATAAATTGTTTATACTGACATTTACAAGCACACCAGTGCTGCCAAATTAGAACATAAAGAAACTGTTCTCACTCTGATGCTGCCAATTTTTGCACAGTTGTACTGTTTTTTTAAAGTAATAAAATTCGGTCAATTTGGTTGAGTTCTTGTTGCGATTTGCGCTCAAGTTTATTTTCATAAGAGAGATATAAATGGTTATTAAAAATGAAATATCACAGCTTGTGGCTTTTTGTTATATTTCTTTGTGCCTGTTACAATAATCAATTCGTGCAGAGCACACATGATGAAGATAGCTGGATCGAACCCGATGCTTGGAGGCGTGAAGAATATCTTCAAAATCCACAACAGAGCAAAAATAAATATCAAAGTGATGAATCCTGGGAAGACTCGAAATGCCCCGTATGTAAGAACGATAACCATAGTGAAGAAGACGTCGCACTGATGTATTATAAAAGACTCATTGCGTACTTATTTAATAGCGACTTTTTCAAGGTGGGTCATTAATCACACAAATATTTGGTAGTTACAGATATAGATGTAAGTAGATGATGACATCATAGCCCCACACACTAGCCGGCTTTTAGTTCATGCACATGTGTTACAGTTTATGCACATTTTTCGTTTAATCAATTGTATTTTTATATCTTCTTATTTAGCAAGATGACTTAACTGGAGAATTCACTCGTTCATTAATATTAACTGCTCTGCCAGCTCAGTTAGAACAGCTCAAAAACTTAAATGACCCGCGCGATTTGGATATGATTTTATCAAAAATTCTGTTAAATACAAGAGTGCCTATTCAAATGCAAGCAAATGGTAAAAGTGTTTTTGCCCTTATTTGGGAAATCATCAAGGATTTGGGACAGTTATTGAAAATTTCCGAGGTGAGTGAGCTTATCGTCTCATATCCTACATATTGATATGGTTATAAAGTCTCCATATGGAATGCTGTTTGTTATTTTAGATTTTAAGTGAAATTGTATATTCACTCGAGAAATAGAAAAGCATATAACATTAAATGTCTCATGTTTATTTCGTTTATTTTCAAGGTTCAATTTTTATTAGGAGCTGCTGGTTTACTACTGATTGGTTGGCATTGTCATCGAAAATATAGCATCGGTATTATTGCAATGATTGTCGGAGCCGTTGTGTGCTTTGGATATTTCCACACGTATTTGGAATGTAATCGCGTAAGTATTTCATATTTTCATCGTTCATCTCAATAACTAATTATCGAAAACTTATAGAAATTGGAAGCTGAACGTTTATTAGAAATGCTTGCACGTCATGAGCAGTTAGCAGCGCAAGAACCCCGATGGTACACGCCCATCGTAAACTTTTTTACTTTCAGCGAGCAACAGGCCCAAAAGACCAAAAAGGAATATATCAAGTTTGTATTCGTTTATTAATTGTACATTATTGGTATTAACTATATTTTTAACTAGACAAGCCAGTCAACTAAATTTGAACTTCTGTCGACCCGATCATGTGTTTCTTCTGTACGCCAATGACTTGTTCTTAAAGCAACTAACATTTCTAATAGACAAATCTATTGAAACAATGGAAACACTCCGAAGTAATTGCCTACTTTATTACGCTACGCACAATCATTAAAAAAAAGTATTCATAATTGTAATTACAGACACTTTGAGCTTTCCATTCAACTATATCGCCGGCGGAATGCTAGTATTCCTTATAGGCTATATTGTAAAATTGACATTCAAGTATATCCTAAGTCCACGTGCTTGGTACGGCGTATGGCAACAACATGAGTATGCAACGCATCGCGGTGGCCTCCCTGCAAGCACAGGTACGGCACTTCATGAAGATCGTATTTCTGGTGAAAATTTAAGAATACTTTTGAACGCCATTAGCGGCGCGACGTCGTCAAACCAGATTTCGATCAGCAATACAACCGCCACGGCGTCTTTAACACAAGCAATCGAGCAGGGTTCAGGCGTGCAGGAAATACTGGCGTCATTAGAAAACGGTAGCGCTGATACAGCCTCTGACTCTTCAATGTCCGAGAAGTTAGCGAAATCAAAGGAAAATTCGCCACAGAAGCAAACAGATGAAACCGTTAACAATAATGCAACAGCAAAGCAGCAGGATGTGTCGAAGAGTGATGAGAAAGCACATGAGGTAAAGTTTGAAGACGTATCGGATAAGGAAGCGTAACGAGCGTAGTACTGCTAACATTTATTTTTATATTATAATATCATTTATTTATTTATTTTAATTTATCACTTTTCCATAGAAATAGTAGCGCTGTGTGTGTACAATGCAACGGGCGGTTCAGATCCTCCCAGTTGAAAAGGTTGGTCACATCCCTCAATTGTGGCAAATGTATACTTTGAATAAGCAAAATAAAAAACGCATACGCATATACAACAAACAATGCAACACAACGCTTATTGGTTTACAATTAAACGCAATCTTGTTGTACACCATTTCAAAATGCAAAAGCGAAACTCGTTAAATGTTATTTTATTTTAACTTAGAGAGTAAAGTACGTTATTAATGTTCTAAGATACAAACAAGCAACTAGTAATTATGGCAGGTAACAAAGGGATATGGATTGAAAATAATACTGTTAAATTTTACTTTTTTTTAAATATATTTCTGCACAATAATTGTAAACAATAATTAAAAAAACAACATTAAAAGATCTTCAATTGGCTTGCGACCAAAAAGCAAATATGTTTGTGTGTATTAATTACTTTTTGGAATATTTTGCTGTGCTAAAATGCAAATACGAGTATGTTTGTGTATATTAACTACCTTTCTGAATATTTTGCTGTGCTGAATAGCTATTGCAATGAAATAGCAAAAATGCGTTAATTATTTTTAATTGGATTATTGGGTTTTTATTTCAACTATTATTTTTAAAGTTGTTTGTTACAATATATATTATATAAGTATAATATATATAAATACATATGTATGATATAATTTTGTTTATTTTTTTAATCGTATTTGTGTAAAGCTATGTCTAGCATTTGTGTGTAGTATGTTTAAGTTTATTATTATTAGCTCAAACAAGTACAATACATACCATCATTCTCGCTTACTGCTATTGGTCACTGCATACATATGTATATCTTGTAATCATGTATAAGTGTCGACTCTTAATGTTATATATTTGCTACGTATAAGTTATGTTTAACTTAATTAATTGTTTGAGTACTTAAATTCGAAATTTCGAAATAAACAGCTAATATGCTGAAATTTTTTTATCTCTGTACAGCAGCTTTAGAAAAAAATTGTGTATTATATATGTATGTGAATGTGCTAGTATTGTATCTATATATACTAAAGCGCACTTGTTTTGTACATTTGCAAAATTTACTTAACAAAATGAATATGCATAAGTAACATGAAGTGCGGTTAACTCAAAGTAAACGCATAAAGTAGCTATATAAATATTTAAAATTTGTTATGTAATCAGTTTTTTATCGAAAAATATATTAAACATACATACAAATATATTAAACATAAGATGTCAAAGTTTGTCATTAGTATTTGCATTTTTGTTTTTGTTATTTTATCTGTCTGTTTTGTCGTCTATTACGTTAACGCTACATAATACGCTTTTATTTATAATCTATATAATTTTTTGTTTGTTTTAATACATGAATTTGTATATATATATATATATAATTTACGCAATTCATAAGTATAAACTAAGTTTCTATTTATTCGTTGTATTTTTACAAAAACACTATGTAATGACGACGTCGGTCATCGGCACATTTGACCGCTTCGAGTTTAACTATTTTGTTGCTTGATCAACATAATTGTAACATAACTGCAYACAAAGCTGCCTTTACATTGCATTGCGACATTTTTAAGTAATTTCAATTCTTTACGTAAACATTAAGCAAATTTATAAACCATTTTTTTTCGCCAGACGCCTGCGCATACAGTATAAGTAGTTACTATCATATACATACATATTTATTTACATATTTGAACCAACTAGACACAGCTTTTGCCAAGCAGTTTACGAATTTGTTTAAATTTCTTGTGACAGTGATGATTGTAAAGCGTATTTGTTAAAAATGAAAAGTTTAAAGAAAATAAATGACACAAACCGAAAACCTTGACTCTTTAATTACGCAAATTCGAATATATTTTTTAATAATTTTATGCTAGCTGGTTTCGAAGAGCGGTTGTAAACAACAGTTACTGGTCTTCGATATATCATTTGAARGCTTAGCTCCCCTCATTTTTTACCAAAATGTCGACCGCATGCTAAATTCAAAAAAAGTGCAAGCTTATAAATAGCACGAAATTTTGCATGATGAATTTCAAGGCCGTAACTCAAATGACCTTAGAGAATATTTTTGTAAATGTATCAGAATAATTTGCATGTATTACAGAATTCTGAGGTAAATATTAACAAAATTACAACTCAAACATTAAAAGCAGCATTTTAAGTAACTTTATTTTAGTATCGAAAATTTTGTAATATTTAGTTAAATGTTTTAATGAAACTAATAAAATTAAATAAAGAAACAAAAAAACAAATGCATCGATTTTTAAAAGAAATGTTTATGCTGAGTTGAGATATTAGTATTCGTTGCATTGGCATCAGGGTTGCAAATTGGGGAATAGAAATTAAATTTTTATTTGTTAATCACAATGCTGGGATTAAAAATAAATTTAAAAAATTTTTTTTTTAATTAAAAATTTGATTTTCAATTGTTAAATTATGATGTTGAGATTAAAAATTAAAATATTATTATTATTAAAACTATTTTTTAATACCGATGTTTTATTTTTTTTAATTCGGTATGTGGGATTAATTTTTTTTATATTTTTATTACCGTATTTGGTATTACGAAAACCAATTTTATTTGTTGTTAATTCAATTACTTTTTTAATGCATTATTTGCCATCCTGATGGACATAACCTCGAAATAAGTATAAAATGGTAATAATAAAAAAGTTTAAATCGAAATAAGGATTTCAACTTAAAATTATATAACTTTTCAAAGATGCGGAAGGCATTTCCACTCTCTCAGCCGCAAAAAAGAATTAACACCGTATTTTTTTTTTAAATAATTTTTTTTAGCATTAATTACGAAATTTGTATGTACATAGTATTTATATTCTTTTGCAGTGACAATTTAATGTAAATTTTTGTTTACTAGTTAATGAAATTAAGTTTTTCATATTTTTTTAAAGCAGTTTGTGTATATACATAAATGTAAAGAATTGAAGCTAAGCTTTTGGTTTTGAATATACTTTAAATATATCTACGTTTCGGTAATATT